ATACCGACAATTGTAAAAATGTTCACACGAATAACTAACATCTAATTAAATTTTGACCATGATTGCGATGCAAATACGAGTCTTGTAACTGAATTAATTAATTTTCAGGGCAATTTTTTATCATTGTCATCTTTGGTATTTTCATGGGATCATCACTGACATTATTAACGGTTTTGTACGTCCAATACTTTGGGGCGAAGACGCTGAAGTACGCATATTCTTCATATCACATAATACAGGGCTTAGGTATGTTTTATGGTCCACCAATTGCAGGTAATTTATGAGGACAAAACAAATATGACGAGTCTCCCAAAATATATGTAGTCTTACATATCTAATTCAATGCTTACTTAGCTAATTCAATGCCTGTCTATCTGGCATCTCGCAGTATTCTGTAGAGATTAACCCATCAAACAGCAGTGCCAAACTAAAGACGTATTCTACGAATGTATTTTTATGCTAATTATTTATTTACTTATTCACGATATTCATTAAAATCAATTATGAATTAGTATTTGAAGTAATTATAAAACAAGCAATATGACATAACAGTAAGTCGGAATTTGCTATATCCTGTGTAATATACGTTTTTTCCTACCAAGGTGTAATTCGTGACGCGACAGGCAATACGATGTGTCATTCTATGTTGCAGGCGAATGTTGTCTGCTGTCGGCGATTGTTATGTTCGCGATGCCACCAGTTTCAAAAAATCCAAATGCGAGATGAACTATCTACCAAAACAATGGAAGCCAGTGACATAATGCAAGGTACACGTCGCAGCAATATGGAATTAATTTTAATAAATTTTATTCTGAGCACAGCATGTAACAGTGGTGGCGGCACATTCCGTATGAACATTTCCACAACACACTCAATATCGTGTGAAAAATCACTGACTTTTGCGATTTAAATTTTCACAAAGTTACTCAAAAATAAAACGGCATGTAACACAATTCTGCCAACAATACAACTTTGAACAGTTTTTCCGTGTTAAATCACCACCATCATCATCACATAAACAGTGTTATATACGAGTATCCTACGAGGAAACATGTCACTCATGCACCGAATACATTGACACAAATACCGAACACTCAAGATTACTTGATAATACGAATGGTTACTTGTTTTGAGGTAAAACGATTTCATATTGATTCTGTGAATGTTTTATTATAGTTTTAATAATGAATCAATTATAGAGTTTAATATGCGCTATACTAGACATGACATGATTATACGCACATGGGTCACATGTGAAGTTGATTCACAACATTTACACAAGATATGATATATGTTGAGTAAACCTGTCTTTTGATTGGTTTGACAAATGTGTTGTATATTTACACATTTTTTAGTATTGATTTAGCTATATTGAACAATTAAAGTTATTATATTATAACATGATAAACATAAATTCAAGGTCACTGATTGCATATGTTTGATAAACGAAATTGTCAATTACTGGTATACTAGGAACAACAACAGGCTTTTAGTGAGAGTAGGCAAGACTCGATATTGCAAGGTATATTTTGAAAAAAAAGGGGAATCCATGGTCACCTATCATATAACATCACATCCACTGCTACAAATGTTTGGTGTGGCCAATCGATACAAATTTGTTAATTAATGTAATACTCAACATTTTGAACATGTAGTTGACTAAATCATTTGAAAATTTTGTTTATGATGCTTACCCTGTGCATTGCACCTTGTTACAGATTCAAGGTGCATTGCAATTGTAAAATATTAAAGGGCGGTAGTCGTCACGTGCGACACAATCCAATGCGCTCTTATGAAGTTTGTCCAGAGTGTGATTTGCACTAATTACGGTCGGTGACTTCTTCGATATCTTCCAATCACCTAAAAATACCTAATTAAAGCTTATGTCGATAACGTCTCAATTTGTACTCCTTGATCTGCGCAACAGCCGAAGTCGTCAGCATTGTTTATACGAGACCCATATATTCCGCGCATGCCATATGGTATGATGGAATAATTATCAATGCCAAATCTTCTTTAATAATTTCGATTCCAGAAATAAAATAATACACTGGATTCTTGCCTGTAATTATACCAGAATTGGGATAAAAATAGGTCAATATCACAGCTTAAATAACATGAAACAACGTTGGTCCTCATGGCTGTTTTTGGATGACTAGTGATACACTTGACACAAAGCATGTTTTAATCTAATTTTAATTTACACACATCTCAATGCTGAAACATTGGGGATCATTCATCAAATTGTACTGTCTTTCTAAGACTACTACATACTGCACCTTGACTTTTGGAGAATCGCTATAATGGCAAAACATCATGATGTTGCAAAGGATACAATATCAAAATACAATGTGAATAATGGTTTGTTCGAAAAAAATCATATATTTATTTACCCATTTCAACACAATAACTGTTTGGACAACAGCAACATGAAGCCTGAGACTATATAAAAATAGTATAAATTAAAAAGCTGTAAATATTACATTTGTAATAATTTCATACAAACAAATCCTGCCAATTATGCTTTTTTAACACATATTTCATAAATGTATAATAGATGATTAAACTTAAATAGTTTACCATAACTGACAGATGATTTGAATTAATAATACAATATTTAATGAAGATTGATTATATAGCAACTCTTGATGCTAAAAACATTTAAAAAGTTTTATATACAATGTAATTTCACCCACATACTAATACATTTTTTACCAACGGTATTCATCATTTACAATATAAACATTGTACATTAATTGTAATATTAATTGACAATAAACAGTAATTTTGAATATAGCAGTCATCAAAATTGATATCTATTGAGTGAAAAAATGTTTTCTTCTAGAATTCTGTTGCTATACTTGACGCGTTGCTGCTTTTGTCATCATCAGGTGACAAACCATCATTTTCTTTAAAAACATCATTATCGAACGAGTATACATTTCTAGGAAAAAAATAATTTAAAAATAATTTTGGATTAAAAAAAACCACAGTACACAGTAAACTATACAGACGGAATTGTGAAAGACAAGCTTCTGATATGTGAATACACACTACAAACCACTTTTTCTACATTCTATTATAAATGTTTATAATATTAACATTATGTTTATCTTATCATTCATAAACATACATTTAATAGCATTTAATGGATTCAGCAACTCTGGTTGAAAGATACTGTCCCCCCAATGTCAAAAAAAGAACTAATCTTAGACTAGTAGAGGACTATTCAAGGTACACATATATGACAAGTATCAAAGCAATTGGGTATTTTCACCAACAATAAACAAAATCGCCAAAATTAAAGAAATAGTGATATCATGATGACTAAAACTTGTAAAGGTTTGATGACAGTGCAGCTAATAACATTGGTTTGTGAAGTTGCAGGCACCCAAACCCAAACCCAAACACAGTGAATTCAATACCAACACTTAATACACACCAGTGACAAAGTAC